CAGACAGAAACTGGGCCTATGTAAATACTGAATAAGGAATTTGACATTTAGGACAGGAACCAAGTACAATAGATTTTCAGGGCTCCTAGGTCATTCAGTGATTCAGTTGGGAAGGTACATGATTAAAACTAGGAGGCACTTAGAATTCCTGAAAAAGCTTAAAGAATTTGTTGGTGGATTAAATTTTGCACTTGCCCAATTCAGTCAGTAAGAAACAGGCAAAAAAGAAATAGGCAGATCTCAGACTGTATTTCAGTGCTCTTTAATTACTGTAAGCTAGAGAACAAAGCAATTAACTGCAAGACACCAGAGAGATAATGCCAACAGTAGTCATTAACCAAGGGGGGGTGGGTTGCAGAATCATCCTTGGGCAGAAATAGTAGATTTTTTAGAGAGAGGGAGAGAGAGAGAGAGAGAGAGATGCTTTGATACCACTAGAAAAGTAGAAAGCCAATTATTCTGGTAGTCATTCTATACTAAGGGTTCTTCAGATCGGTTTTTATCCAGCTATGGAAGATACCACCAAACATACACATTTTATGATCTATTTAGAACATAATTTTTGGCATTCGGGGGTAGACAACCAACCAATCCTTCCAGATCCTTAACAAGAGCTTTAAAGGCAGAAAACTGCAGTTTTTTTTTTTAACAGTATAAAGTTAAGCATCACCTGATAACAGTTCCACATCAAATTACTATTAATATAAAAGTTCTTAAAATGGCACCCTTATTAGTACATAGTAAATACTTCTGTTGTAATGAGAAAGACTTGTCTAAGGAGAACTGTGCTCATTGCACTATTGTCACACTGAGCATCCACTGTGGGATACAGAGTCCCCATAAAACAAGGTCAAAATAAACAAAAAATCCCTCCCTTTGGGGTGTTGGATATTTGTGCTAAAACATACAGTTATCATATCTGGGCTGCAAAAATCTGGACACCCACTAGATTGCAGGAAAAAGATACAGAAAATTCTGACTCTCTACTGTCTTTTTGTTGTCTAGATTTTTGCAGCCCAGATATGATAAACACATAGCAAGCAAAATTTATCTGGCTAAAACATACTATGTTCTCTCTTTGGACCAGATGCACTGATGGCCCTTGACACTCCTGACTCTAATATATTAAAGATTTTTTTTAGAAGCAGGACAAACTATTCAGTTTTATTGACAACTGAAGAATCTTACAAAAATAAATATTGTTAAGTTGGAATAGAGAATTGGGGCTTCCAACTCTATCAAATCAGTTGTCTCAGGGTTTTTTTTAAATGTTAAATTTTTCTTAGAATTTTAACATGAGATTAATCAAGTTTATTGGACTTCTCAGTGAATGTTTAAAAAGAGTTAGTTGTCCATTTTTCTATGCTTGAAATAACAGTAAATTTGAAGATATGATTTGGTCTTGCCCTCTGATTGTTCTGTATTAGCTGAAAAAAATTGATACCATGCATTAAATTTGGAGAAGAGTTAAAATGTCAGTTTTGTTAAATAATACTTCAAAAACTGTAGTTTTTCCATCAAAGAACAACTCTGGATCTTTTCAGCCTGGACCGTTACAAAATGTGTTTTTGGAAACGGATTTACATGCATGATACCACAGGTTCACTTGGATAATATGTTTCTGTGTGAGGTGTAATTTGTTTTTCAGCAACTGAGATTCTTTACGTTTTCAAACATGTATAATGGTTTGTTGTATTTTATTCTGTTACATCTATTTTAAGAGGTTGTTTCTTGGTTCTTTGTTTATTCATATGTCTTGTTCATTTTTCTTTGTTGCATTAAAGCAATACAAAAGAAAGGTAAATTGGACTGTAGTATGAGTTGAGCGTCCTCATTTTCTGCTTTCTCAAGAGGAAAACTAAGGTTCTGTCACTGTCAGCTGCAGTTCACAGCATCTTGCCTGCTTTCTTTCAGCAGTATATGGGGAGGCTTAGTGCTTTCCCCCCCCCCTCCCTAATCCTTCCAAATCACAGACATGTGGCAATTATTAATAGGAAAAATCTTCCAATAGGGATTTATTATTGGTAACCATTATCAAACATAGCCAATTCTGAGATGGTGTTCAGCTGGAAGAGGAAAAATAAACATTTCCCTGCATGCTATGATACTAATGTAGATTAGATATTCTGTGCTTATTCTGGAACAAAAATTGAAAGGCAGCCACACACAATATATATTTAACATGACATACACCCGGACTCTTCAACTCAGTTATTGCTATGATGAACAGCATATATGGTAACAACAATCTGGAACACTGATTCTTACAGGGAAAACTATATGAATGATTTTTCTTCCTACAAGTATTTATTCCAAACATATGGATGTCAGTGAAGCTTGGGGAAGAATAACTTTAATCACATGGATTTCCTTCACACACCTAATGCACGGAGGGAACTGAGTTTTTCGTATATCTCAAATAACCTCTATTTGAGTTTAAAACTGAGCTCACATAATACTCTTATCTACAATGTGGTTTATTTGGTTCTGATTTAACTTGTTTTGTGAACACAGCAAATGTACTTTGTGAACCATAGTTAATGGCTTCACTGTATTTGTGAACTTAGCCAATAATAGTTGATCAAAAGATAATTAAGGAAACCACAGTTTAATATGTTGTGTGAACACAGCCTATTTTTGATTTTGTTTCATTTGTGGTATGAACTTAGCCTTTTTATTATAGGGTTGGTGCGTTCCAGGTTCCATTGATTAAACAGTGCTACCTATTGGGACCCTGGAAGCATGTATTTTCTATAGCAGTGCCTACCATCTGGAATGAGATTCCCCCCAAAATCTGAATGGCTTCCACCCTACTGGGACTTCGAAGGGCCTGAAAGATGTGGCTGTTCAGCCAAGCCTTTCTTCCTCTCTGTTCCTTTCTTCCTTTCTGTTCCCTTCTGCCATCATTGTCCCTTTGTCTTGTGCTGTTTTCATGTTTTCTGTATTGTTCTTTGTTTTTTAAAAATGTTTTAACAATTGTAAACTGCCCAGAGTTCCTGGGAGTTGGGTGGCTTATTATTATTATTATTATTAATAATAATAGATTTTGTTGATTTTGTTATACTATATTACCCATGACAGTTTGTAACAAAAGTTTATATACCGTAAGTATCTTAAAATTTATGTTTCAGTTAATATACATTTTTACCTGCTGCATTAAGATAAATGCTGAATTTTTTGTAAAGTATGAATCTAATCAGATACATTTTTCACCAACCTGGAGTGGACACAATTCAGATCCATTCAAGTGACTTATTGTCCATTATGATATGGCTATGCAAATTGGCTAAATTATGTTCCAAAGCAACTGTGATTAAAAGAAAATCAAATCCATTTTACAGACATACAATTCTGCCACGAATATCACCACTTTATACAACACTTGCATGACCTTGCTGAAAAGACAGGTCATTCTCATTTGCAGTAATCTATTCCTGTTTAAATCAGCTGATCAGGGCAGAAGGCAGCACAGCTAGCGTACCAGAATGCATATTTTAGCCAATATCCTAAACCCAGACTCTGGAAGACATCTCGATTGACTAGGAAGTAGCTGCTGCTCTCCTAAATGTGCCAGGTTTATAGCTTCAAATCATAACATTGTCTCTTTCAAGGTAGCGTTAATCTGAGAAAACTGTATTTAAGTTCTGTACTTGGCCAGTGCAAAAACAGTCCATAAATAAATTGTATTTAATATGCAGTGTAATTGTATCAGACTGAATAAGGGGTTCCTATTTTTTTGAGGATGGTGGACATATTTGAAAATTTCAAAACATTATTAAGGTACTTTCACAAAAATCCTTGCTGGTGGAGTTTGCCCATTTAAGTGCCATGGGGAAATAAAAGTTAACAAAATGCAGCTTTACCACAACACTATCTGCCTCCTTCAGGGCTTTCTGTACTACCTCTGCATACTGTTGTTGCCTTTCTGGAGCAGACTGAAACCCTTCCAAATAAAGCAGTACTGCAGCTGTCCATCATGTCTATTTCCTAAGAACATGTGTAGGACCCATTTGAGCACTCTTGGAAATAAACAGATCAATCTACTTTGTAGCATACCTCGCTACAAAAACTGCCCCTTTTTAAAATGCTAGTGAGACCAGAACCTATCAACTGAATGAAAGATCAGACAGAAATATTCAGATCAGCCTTATACTTCAAGGCAGAATTATTCAGTTTCCATACTGCTTCCATGAGAAAAAAGGAAAAGGAAAGTAGGTTGATTGCTGTTTGTCTGTTTGTCTGTTTTTGGCTTCAGAGAGTATCTGAGAAGTAAACCCATGGTGGATAAAAGTTGCCGTACAGGCAAAAATCCTTTGTACTGCTGGAGAACAGAAGCCTCTTCTGACATTGGAATAACAAGCAATGGCTGAATTCACATATTGTACTAAAATATTATTCTGATAGCTATGGATTATTGAACAAAAAACAGTAGATTAGCTTCACACCATCATGCTAGGTGAAAACCACTCAATCCACATCACAGCTCAATACAATGTGTGAAGCCAGGTAATGATTAATTGGTCAATATTATTATTGTCCATGACTGGTAAAGACAAAAATCTTGTAAAGGAGATACAGTACAAAAGATCACATTTTGTTGTTGTTACTTTTGGAGCTGATATTAGGAAAAGCATGAACAAACCTGCAAGCCTCTGTTCGTTACAGTTATTTCACTGCCAATTAATATGATAGCTTTAGAAGAAATAGAAAACCTCCAAAACCAGAAGTAATGAAAGTGCTCTAGAGTTTAGATCCTTTGCTATGCAGTTGGAGGAAGCCAGCGAAGGACTCCTATTGGCCTACAGGGTCACAAGAACGATATGTCATAATGTAGAAAATGTCATCTAAGAGCCAGTCTCTGCCAAGCTGCTTGGCTTACAGTTCTCTGCACTGTCTAGCGAGGCAGGTGGAAGCAGCAGCTGCTGTACCACTCAGAACAAGTGGAGCCTGCCAAGAACTCAAAGTGGTGACACTGAAGTCTGTGGCCGGCTGCTGAAGACATGGCAAAAAGGTGTACTTTGTCTTCTGCCCCCCCAGTATTTGATTCAGGGAAAAGAACAGTATATACAGGTAATAACTTCCATTCCATTACTGGTTTAAAGAAATTAATTCTAAATATATAAAAACAATAGCATTAATTATACAGATGGCCCAGAGAAAGAAATCTGATGCTCAGTTGAAGCATCATGTATAAAGTTACATAACACAACTGCATCATAGTCTGTAAGTATCTGTTCACTAATCATACAGCTAAAAGAGCATGAACAAATGAAAATTACAGAACCTGATCAAGCGGGGGAGGAATCTACATCTACTGCCACACAACCTTCATCCATGTTTCAGCAGCTGTTGTGATTACACCCTAGATTCCATTGAGTAGGTGTGCACATATATATACAAGATGGAGTCCAGGTGTATTGCCAGGGCTTTGGGAAAGGTGTAGTATGATCAGATATGAAGTATTATCGTAAGATTTGGTGGTGGTAGGGACAACCACATACAGTAACAGTAAAAGTTGTGAAGGTTTGCAAAAGCAATAGCAAACACACATGGGGACTGTTTTCAAAACAATGTCATCCAGCTGTGGCAATAAACAAAACAAGGTGTTTTTTTTTTAAAAAAAAAAAGCAGTACTGTCAAAATAAAGGAAGCAAATTGGAATTTTGCTTGGAATTGGAGTTACAAGAAATGCTCTGTAATTAAAAACAAAAACAAAAAACTCTCAGGAAACATTCTGCAGTTCCAAACAGTAAAAATGTTTTTGGAGTTTTGGACTGAAAATTAAATCATGGGAAAATATTTGCCATTTAAACATTTCTTTTTGGGATGAAATCCTTGTATGCTGTCACTTTTATGACAAAAGAACTGCCATTTCTTAAAAAAAAGCTGAAGATACAGGTCTTCAGGCATTCTGCACATAGTCAGAGGTACAGTATATCTCTATTATACTATCCTTTGTGTATCCTTTGTGTATGGTCCCTTGTCAAGGCACAGGGAGGGGCTCATGCTCTGTGGTTGCAGAGTAAGGAAAACTGCTGCTACCAAATAGACAAGTAGCGTCTGCAGGTGCATACACGTTTCTGTAACCATTGTTGCCTTTCACTTCAGTATAATGGAAATTCCTTTTTTCAGATACTCATCTTGTTTCCATTTTCAAACACTATTTAGAAGAAAATCTTCTGATGGTTTAAAGGGGTGCTTATACAGTCTTGTGCCTTGTTCCTCACTGCCTCTTCACTTAAGATTTTCTCCTATGATTTGAGTTATCCCAGGTAATGATATCTAGGATGTATAAATAATGTATTTAATGCAACGAGTTATGGGGCAGTGTATTCTTTTTACCCATGGGATGAAATGTCCATTTCCCCTTTCAATTTTCTGTTCTCCAATTCATCTGGGTTCCCAAACAACCCTTCTTCACTTCTGCATTTCCCTTTTACTTTTCTCAAGCATTTGTACAGGATTCTAGTAACCCTCGTGGCCACTAGAAATGCTTATGTTAGCATGATATCAAGTTGTGTTAAGCCATCTGAGATAAAAGAGTACTATGCCTCCAAAATCTACTCAATATTTCCTCTCAGATGCTTTCCTAGTTTTTTCAACTCTAGCTCATTTAAAACAAATTTGGAAAAACTTCTGCTCCTGTTGACATAAAATGGGCTTATTCCCTAAAAGTATGAATCAAATTCCAGCTTTAAGTCTGAGGCTAATGTCTTCTGTTCTTATGATGTTATAGTCATCATAAGAAGGTAAGAAATTAGTCTCAAATCTTGTCCAACCTTCTATGTCACACAACGGAACACCTGGAAAACTCACAAACAGGCTAGCTTATCTGTGTTCTAGACAAGTACTACATGGCAGGAAATGATTAGAGTTTTCTGTATATGTTTGCTGTCTAGTGGTCACCAGACAGGCAGTAGCCTATTTTTACTGCTGTTCTCCAGCAGCTGGTATTAAATGGTAATATACAGCTTTCCCATTCTCTGAGCAGTGACAAATTTCAAGTGCATAGTAAATGCTCTAGTTTAATTCCATTTAATTCCAGAGGCAGCAACTTTTTGTAGCTGAAAGCTAGGCTTTCTTGCTTAAGCATTTTTAAACCTCTGATAGGGGCAGTGATAAAAGTGATAACAGTGCACACATACACACACACACCCCACCAAATCTCAGTGAGGCAGTCTCAGAATGCTCTAAAACTCACAATATTGGGCCTGGTTGGCCACATGCAGTCTGTCAGTTGTCCATTTAGGAAGCTGTTGTTATAGGCAGCTCATTAGTGTTTTGTAATATGCATTTATTTACAACTGTTAAAAGAAACACAATTCAAATCCTGCAACTGATAGTCAGAATTCCTTCCTCCAGAATCAGATTACCACCCTACTTCCTAAAATGCTTTTATCTTCCAGAGCTTAGTTGGGTCTCACTGTTCAACTTGTAATCTGCCTTTCCAGCCTTTATGATCTTTAAGAAAGAGAATATTGTACCATGATACAGTACTACTACAATCTTCAGCATCAGAGAGCAAATTTATTTTGAAAAAGTTAAAACTCCCCTGACTCTAGCTAAAAATTAATGACTTGCTTGCAGTGGTACTGACTCTTGAATTGCCAGCTAAATGAGGGCTATAAACAGTATTTACAGTATATGTAATATGACAATTGCTAGCATAATCCTTTAATTTGCAAACAGGATTTTGCAAATGCATGCATGTACCATACATACTTTATATTCCTTATCTCTGGAGTAACATTTTCTTTGTACAATTCTCTTTTGCCAACTAAATCATGGACATGTATGGGTATGTGTATTCCTACAAGAATGTCAACTGTATGTCACACACATTACTTAATTAATTGATTGATTGTATTCTTAATATTATTGCTAGGAAAGTAGTGATAGGATACAGATAAATGCTGAAACTCCGGCTACTGACCAAGAGAAATCCTGGGAGAAAGCAACATGAGAAAGCAGATACCTGCACCTTTCATCAGGGAATATACCTTTGAAACAGGAAGGATGAAACATTGGTGTTGGACATGTTGGAAAATGTTTAGATATTTGCTGGCTTCCAGAGTTGGCTTCAGAGCCCCTGTTCCTGAGATAGGGTGGCAACAGCCACTTTCCCCCTGCCCCAACCTT